CTGATTAGACAGAGGCTACGGTTTCTTTTCTTTTTTTTGTTTTTTTTATGTCATTTTTGTTTTAATGGTTTTGTTTTATGTTTGTTTTTTTCTGTTTTTGTTTAATTTTTTTTTATTTTTGTTTTTTAAAATCTGTTTTTGTTATATGTGAGGCAGCGGGGTGAAATCAAGCTCTCGTCAATTTTTGGGCATGTAGAGTTGTTGGTATCATCTTAAAGCTTGTTCACTTGTCTTTATTTTGATGAAAAAAGTATCCATTTATCTTGAATACAGGTCGAGATATTTACAAAACAAGGAGGTGGGGGTCACCTGTTTTCAGAAGTAAAATTAGTTAGAAAATGGCCCCCAAAGGTTAGTTATTTAATTAGCTTAAGAGTCCGTGGTAACTGAATATTTACATTTTCAGTGTCTTAAATCAACGTTTTTCAGAAAAATCCACACAGAAATGAGTTCATGGGCATGAAAGGTGTAGAGTCAAAAAACAAAAATTTAATAAAAATGCACAAACCTGCGAAAAAATACCAGTTTCTTCATTCCACGCTGCCTCACATATGTTTTGTTTCATGTTTGTTTTTATCTGTTTTTGAATTGTTTTTCCCCGCCCATCGACACAAGTTACATGAAGGGCAGAGAGAAACGAGTGATAGATACAGAGAATACCTCAGTCTCCTCGACGTCCTCTTCAACTCGTCAATTGTCCACCACCAGATCTCCCGCGCTTCCTATCACTGCCTGGGCCAACTGACGATCCAAACCTCCGGTGGGCACTGGTCAGCGAGATGACAAACTACTGACCACCACTGGCCGGAGGATGGACGATCATTACACACACACACACACACACACACACACACACACACACACACACACACACATACACACACACACGCACCGCTAACCGCTCCTTGATGCTGTGTTGACGTTCTGTGGGGGCTACAGTTCAAATATTGACCCAAAATTTGTAATTAGGAACATTTTCGAGTTTGAGATCATGTCGAAACTCCATGTGGGGGTGAAAGCGACCCACGGCGCCCTTTGAACTCGGTGTGGTGTGGAAGGTGACGAAGAAAGATCGGGTAGGGTAGACGGGTATCGTTCTAAAGGGGATTGGCACAAAGTTTTAAGTAAATTATAGGTGGGCCTCTCTCGAGATTGCATGTCACAACAAGAGTGAATTATTACGATGTGACTCAGTTATACACGTACGGTGGAGTTTATGGTATTGTAGCTAGGTTCTGTAGTGGTGAACGAAATCCGGATAATTCTCAATGAAACATTATCCGAATTCAGACTCTAAAACCCTCTTTCCTAATCCGTTTGCCGAAGTGGGTGCACCCATTTGTTGAAGCGGTTCTAATCCGTTTGTCAAAGTGTTTCTAACCTATTTATCGAAGCGGTTCAGAACGCATGTAATTGCCGAAGAGGTGCACTAACATATTATCCGAATTTTTGCTAAAGCGACTCATTGCCCAGCCCTAAGGTTCTAGCTGTAACAGAGGAAAGGGGGGGGGGGGACCCTTGTTCGCCTAGAGGTTAAGGTGTTCGCCTCTCGCTCAATAGGTCCCGGGTTCGAATCCGGAAAGCGACAGAAATGTTTCTTCTCTAAAATCATTTCCTTTCTCCCGCTTTCATACTCTTGCAACGTTCTGTCGTCTGCTTTCGTCTCCACTTTCTGCCCCCGCCCCCTCACCTCCTTTGCCCCCCTCCGCTGGGCTCCTGACTCTTTCTGAAGCCGCTCTACTGCTACTCCTTGGCTCTTTTTTACTGCTGTCTTTCAACAAAATTCAAAATTTCCTTCCAACTGATTAATGTTTAGTGTGTCCCGTGCCCTCATATGACCGTGTTATGCAGTTGTGAGCGCCGTAAAACACTTACCCCCCCAAAAAAAAAGACGGAGAGAAGGCATTGGTTAGTTTAGTGAATGGGGAAGTTTTTCAAAAATATTATTTTGTTTGTTTTCTTAGTTGTTATTTTTTTAAGTAGGATGTGATTGTATAGATGTGTGTGTGTGTGTGTGTGTGTGTGTGTGTGTGTGTGTGTGTGTTTGTGTGTGTGTGTGTGTGTGTTTGTATTTGTGTGCATGTATGAGTATGTGTGTATTATTGTGTGTATATCTATGTGTGTGTGTTGTTGTTGTTGTTGTTGTTGTTTCTCTATGCGTTTTGTGGTTGTTGCCTGGGTTTTGTCTGGGGGGTGGGGGCGGGAACTTTGTTTGTTTTGGTTTGTATATTTTTAAAAAAAATCTAAATCTTCTTCCTTCTGCTTGGATCTAGTGTTACAGTAAGTCAGGATTTGCCCTGACAAGTAAAGTAGATGTTACCCACCTCTCAAAGCTCACCAGAACGGTATCAATGTAGGCGTAAAGCACTTACAATATGAGTGGTGAATGTTTTTCCGCACAAATTTAAACCTGTAGTAATGTTTATTCGAGTATCTCATCATGTCTTCTAAGACATTGGTCGAATGTGTGTTGTGTGTGTGTGTGTGTGTGTGTGTGTGTGTGTGTGTGTGTGTGTGTGTGTGTGTGTGTGTGTACCTGTATCTGCGTGCGTAATATATTAATAAAAAATTTTAAACCCTATCCGTACGCCCTAGGGTCATTTTGTAACCCGGGGTTGTATTCTTCACATTTTAGAATATTTCTAGGGCAAAGATCTCTTTGAAACTATCAATATTTCTCCAAAAATATTTTAAACAGACTACTACGCAAAGCGTACGGATCAGATTAACGAGTAAATTTCCTCTTTGGAAAGTGGTGGCACAGTTCACAACGTCGTATGGATACGATAGTAAAACACGACGTACGGGTAGGGTTTTAAAAAAGCAAAAAAAAGCAAAAAAAAGCAACACCATACATTGAAACTTATTACAATATTAAATTTTATTCATAGAATACATCACGTCGTATATAACGTTGATATTTCCTGGACGTCTCTTCCACCGTTCGAAATTTGATTTTTGGTTTTGTTGATTGTTTCTTCTTGTGTTGATGGCTTAAAGTATTAATTAGTCTTCACAGCTGTTCTTATTTTGTTAGCATGTTTGTTTGTTTGTTTGTTTGTTTTCAATCACTGCTTTGTTTTGTAGTTTGCACTCTCTTTTTCTTTTTTTTTTAGAGGGGGGGGGGGTGGTAAGTAATTCTCTCATCCTGCACATACGTTCTCCTCACTTTTTTGGTCCAGTTTGGAAAAAGTCTTGTTACAGTGACCACCACCACCACCAGTGTTGTCCAGTGTGACGTCAGCTGTGTCCGGCTTGACGGTCACCTCCATGTCGTTGACGTCACCCTCCCCGCCCTCTCCTCCATCCCCGGCCGCCCAGGGCTCGATCTCGCCAGATGCGAAGCCGCCGAAGACCACTGTGCCCACCACTGTGAACGCCCCACACACGTAGAACACATTGCACCACTCCGACTGGTCGTTCTGGGAGTGGACAGAAAAAGTATTATCTTATCTTGTCTTATTTTATCTTATTTTATTTTATCTTGCCTTATTTTATCTTAGTCTTATCTTATCGTGTCTATCTTTGTCTTGTCTTGTCTTGTCTTGTCTTCTCTTCCTTATCTTATCTTATCTTATCTTATCTTATCTTATCTTATCTTATCTTATCTTTGTCGTGTCTTTGTATTGTTTTTGTATTGTCTTTGTCTTGTCTTTATCTTGTCTTGTTTTGTCTTGACATTTCTTATCTTATCTTATCTTTCTGCTTACCTCACCGCGCACGTTGCGACAAAAGTTATTGGGGAGTTGAGTTTTTGTTTCTACACAATAAATAATATTACCATGTAGCCTTCTTTGCTCTCCGCCTTTTCTTTCCGTCCTGACAAGCAGTAATGTGTATTAGTAATGTTAACGTTAGTCCTATCTCTCTCTGCTCCAATGAGCCACGAGTGACCTGGGCACCCTCTATAACGTTCCCTACTGGAAACATCTTTAATTGACGCTCATATGACCTTATGCAGTTGCGAGCGCCGTAAAACCCTCTACTATTTAAAAAAAAATCAAGCACATCTTTAACGTCACCGCGAAGTTCATTTGAATGATTAAGTAATTGCATCATAGGTAGACCCTTGACTTGCTTAAAACTTTCTCTCAGCAGAAACTTGTTCAAGTTCTGCATGAATAACAGTGGGTTTGTTTTTCTACTTTTCCACGGAGAAACCAAATTATACAAACAGCTCTTTTCTCTTCTTTAAGTAATTGCTTTAATGGTAGACCCTTGGCTTGCTTAAAACATTCTCTCCGCAAAAACTTTTTCAAGTTCTGCATAAGTTACAGTGGGGGGGGGGGGGGTTTCTTGTTTGTTTTTTTTTGCTGGGAGAAACCAAATTATAGCAACAACTTTTTAATCTTTTTTCGACCAGTACTGTACTTTAGCCTTGCTATACCAGAAAGACTCACGTTTGGTGTGAGTTTTCCTGTGACAATGGGAGCCAGTATCCCGGGTATGGTGGAGATAAAGTTGGTGATTCCATACAGTACTCCGGCGTACCTGTGTGTGGGTGGGGCGGGGGTGGGGGGGGAGAGAATGAAAGAGAGAGAATGAGTTCATGTGTGTGTAGGTAGGTGGGGGTAGAATGAGAGAGAGAGAATGAGAGAGAGAGAATGAGAGAGAGAGAATGAGAGAGAGAGAATGAGAGAGAGAGAATGAGAGAGAGAGAATGAGTTCATATGTGTGGGGAGTGTGTGTGGAGTGTGTGTGTAGGGTGGGGAGGGGCTGTGTATGCGACAATGGGCGCCAGTATCCCGGGTATGGTGGAGACAAAGTTGGTGATTCCAGACAGTACTCCCGCGTACCTGTGTATGGGTGTGTTGGTGGGGGTGTGGGGGTGTGGGGGTGTGGAGGAAGACTGACAGAGAGAGAATGAGGTCATGTGTGTGTGGGTAGGGGGGGTGAAAGTGAGAGGGAGAGAGAGAGAGAGAGAGAGAGAGAGAGAGAGAGAGAGAGAGAGAGAGAGAGAGAGAGAGTGTGTGTGTGTGTGTGTGTGTGTGTGGGGGGGGGGGGGGGGGGGATGGCTATGTAAGTGACAATTTATGCGCTTCACAATCTATACTATTACCCCAGCAGACCTGAGACAATTCTGAGACAAACTCAACTTCCTGGGAAACATGCAGTGCAAGCAGCCATTTATAGGCGCTAAAGCACTAGCATACTGACAAGATCTATGACTGGGTACCCATTTCCACTTGAGTGAAGTGAGGATAATTCGAATAATTTGCCTTTCCCAAGGACACAACGTCCGGCCCAGATTGGAAAGATATAGATTGACAAAACAAATTATGAAATAATCACGAGACAGCAAACAAACACGCGGTGTGCTTGTTTAGGTAAAGAGAAAAACATCGAAACTAAGCAAAAACATTTTCTGGTTCAATGTACAAAGTACACAGATAGACAGAAACAACAGCAAAAAAAGAGAAAAATACAAGAAGTAGGACTTAACAGCGCCACCCACCAACGTAGACACATAAGCGAATACTGACAAATATTTTTATTGACCTGAACAAACAAACGCTCTAGAAAAAACATCATTATCGATGATAACTTAATCAGTATGCATGACACAGCTTTTCTTTGGCCGTAAACTTAAAGTTTAAAGGAATTAGATTGCCTTTTTTTTTTTTAATTGTACCCTGCCCAATTCTATTATCTGACGCTTTTGTGTTTAGTAATAAAAATCAACTGAGCAGCATTTTGGGTTCTGGACTTAGCTGTTAGTCTTAAAGTAACATACAGCAAATTGTTTTACATAATATACATAAATACATGAGTAAATAAGTAAAACAAAAGAGGTTTCTTCACTCTTATAGGGTTATTTTAGTAAGTTACTCATCTAAGTGTTGCCATAGCCCTAACTGGAGATGGCTACCACAACTGGTTAGTAGTTTGTTTAGATCAGGTTAGTCCTACATTCCTCAGCTCTTTCGAGTCACGAGGTGGGCACCCTCTGTCCCGCTCCGTAGTGGAGTCATCTTTACCGTGTCACCAAAGGTTCTGAAAGATTGACCATTTTATTATAGATCAACTACTTTCCTCCCTAAAATCTTGACTTCCTTGATATTATGTTATTTCGTTCCATATGAAAGGCATGGTCAGTACGTTTAAGATACATCTTAATTGTCCAGATCCTGGCACATTGGTTTGGTGTTTCACCACGTGTACACACACACACAC